AATGGGTATATATTCATAATTTCGAAGAGATTTCATGAGGAGCTAAGCGATTCACTTTATGTGATATGGTTCATATGAACTAGTGAACGAATTTTTGGTGATAATCTATTATTTAATAATATTATTTAAGGAACTGCCAATGATAAATGATAATGAATAATGATGTAGTTCATAACTGATCTAGTTCAGTATTTAATTATGATCTACGTGAAAAGTGAGTATTTCTGTAGTTCACGAGTCGGAAATGAACAAATCGAACTAGAACTAGCAGCACTCATATCTGTAGAGGCTTTCGAAGTGCCGCATTGTAAGGTCTGGAGTGCGGCCAAGTGCTGGATGCCCGAAAAAGAACAAAAACTATTAAAGTAAGTGGAAATGGGCGCATTAGAGCGTACACACACACACACTCACTCACGCATAACAGGCCCCAGGGACGTAGAGGCGCAGTGGAGGGAGGCGGTTGAGTGGACAGGGGCGCCTGTGTGCCATTCAAACGCTTGAGCGCTTCGGGCTGGACAGACGGAAATAGTGGGCGGCAGCCGCTGCCGAACCTTTTTATGTGCTTTAAGTTCTTTTTGTGAAAATACAAAAATAAAATCGTATTAAAAATTAAATGTGAATTGTGAGCTGAAACTGTGAACTGCAAAAATAATTTGCGCTCTCAGATTTTTCATGGAATTTTTATGTGATTTTCGATTTCAATTTACAGTTTACAGTTTGCATTGCAATGCCCGCTCGCTGAGTGTTAGAGGAGTATAGCAGTACGGCCTTTGATATGCATGCGTGTGCTCCTGATTGAATGGGGGGCGTGGCAACTCTGGTAACCTCTTACAGCTTGAGGAACGGAAACGGAAAGAATGCTTGACCTCAATCAGTGAAGTTTCAATTGACTTAATATTTCCATATCTATATTTATTTTGCAATACTTTTTAATCAATTCAGAAATACATGATTTATTTATATTTTATATATTTTTGTATATTATTATTTAAGATCTATTTCATCGCCTTCTTTATAAGTGAACTTTTTTCCTGGTAGCTGAGCGAGTATCTGGCAGTCAGATGCCGCCCGTGGCCCACTTCAGATGTGCGTTTTCACCTCCATTCAGCTGGCAAGTGTGGCCACGTTACACGCGGCGTATGCGCAATATGCAAATTGCGAGCAGGGCTTACGCCCTCGCTAGCAAAGGGTATTTGAAGTGACTCAGCAGGCGTGATTCATTAATAAAGCGTCGCAAACGGGAAGCTCAAGTCACTCGAGGCGTGGCATTTGGGCTGCTTCATTAGCTGCATTAGAAACGTGCCCAGAAGGCTCCGGCCCAAGGCGTTGACCGACAATAAAATGAACAGCATCAACTGCAGAGCCTCTCCAAATGCCACAAATATAATTAATGACAATAGACACACATAGAGAGGCAGAGGGAGAGAGCAACTGGATGAGAGAGAAAGACGCAGACTGAGCTGTGCTTTGTCTATGACAAATGTAGCGTGGCCTTTGCTGTGACAAACTTTAATGGAAGCTCAAATGAAATTTGTGTAAATGAATATGCGTAACCTCATAAATGCAGATATATAATATAAACATATTAGGCCGGCTAGTCGGGCCCGGATATAACGCTAACTAAGTGCCGCATTTGCAGCATCCGGTCTAGACTTGATTATCCTCAGCTTCACTTTTGGCTCATGCTGTGCGGCTGGTCAGGCGCCATGGAAGGCAGCAGCTGCTCTAACCAAATGAGCTGCTTACTTAGGGATAGCATAAAGTAAGGAATGCGCGGCAGAAAAGGCGACGAACGGGCATGCACGACCGAGCAATGCGTTGTATAATAGAAAGAAAAGCAAAAATAACCCAATATAGGGAATGTGAAAAAGACTTTGGCAGACTAGCCATAGAAGAAAGGAAAGTTAATGGATTTAGGCGGGTTGAAGCAACGAAAGAATGCTCTACTTGAAACGTAAAAACCATCGGAAGTTACTTAAAGAAATAATCCATTTGGAATATGCGAAAAAATCGGATGAGACACGCTTAAGAAATCTGTGTAACATGGTATATAACAAACTGCGATTCATGACTCGGAAAAGAGCTGAAAATGGCAAAGAAAAGGCTATGAACAGAGCCCCAAACGAAGCATATATAGAGTTTTTAGCAGCCGACAATTAAACTAAGACTTTATTAAACAGAAATCGTTTAACTAGGCGCGCCTATGTGGGCGTGCCTTGCCTGCTTGGACAACTAATATCAACTTTTTTGCACATTATAAACAGAGTATAGAGAGAGTGGGAGAGAAAAAATGGAAAAATATCAGCCAAAGGCAAGCATGCCACATGCCGCAGCTATGGGTGCGAATGACGATGTGTGTAACTGCGTGCGTGTGTGCGTGTGTTTATGGATGTGTGTAAATGTGCCTGTTATTCCCCATTTGCAGCTGGGGCAGCACAACGTTTAATCTACCATAAACACATGACTGCGTATTTATGAGTGTATGCGTGTGTGCGTGTGTGTGGGTGTGTGTGCGCCACGGCAGGTGAGTGCTTCAGCTAAGCCGTTGTGATTTCTCTCGGCTTTTTGTCTCGGGCACACTTCGAATACAGGAAGCTCAGTCAATAAGTTAAGCCAAACAGTGCGAAGTTGTTCCACTCTTTGGTTTTGTACGCCTTCTGGCTTTAAGTTTCCGCATTCATAATTCAAGGCTAAACAGCTGCAAAACAAGCAAATGCAGCCCAAAAGGAAAAACATTTCAAATGTTTATTTTTCACGAAAAAAGCAAACGCAATTATGTTACGTTTGAACGGCAAATGTAATTAGCAAAAAGGTTTTATAATTATTCAAAATAATATTTATTTTTTAATTAATAAATAAATGGCAAATACAGACAGCAAAATGTTGAAAGACAAATTTTATTTTTGATCTGCTTCGATTCGAGCGAGAGCTAAGCTAAGATAAGATGTGGCATCTCTGTCTATCTCTCTAGGGTATTTGGCGTTGATTATTCGCAATGCTCCATAGTAGCTTGATCTATAGCTATGCTATCAATAATCTTAAAATGTGATAATCGAGAATTTATATAAAACAACTGGGAGTAAACGACGTCCGCCTCAGCTGTAGAGGCAAGAGCAACTGCACCAAGCAAAGTCTCTCGGGTGCTAAAACGACGACGGCTTAGCATGATCAAGCCGATGGTTGAGATGAGACGAGAGTGAAATCAGCATGTGAAGAGCCGAGAGACAAGTGACACGACTGAAAGCAATGCATATACAATACATATACAGATTATGAATCAGTTGGACTTGGACAACAATCAGAGTCTATAAGGAAGAGATTAAGTTGGATCTCTTTTTATTGCGAGTGTCTTACAATGTGATCGATTGCATTATCGCTCATTTATGGGTATATCAGTGAGGCAGATGGACTCTGTCGCCTTTGAACGAGAAATTAAATGGAGAACGGAATCTTTAATAATATATTGTAAAATTGAATATATAAGCTTAATTGAATATATATTATATACCTTTGGAAAATGCTGCGCACAGAAAAATTATGTTGTGAACAAAAAGACATTTAAAGGAATATAGAGCTATATAAGCTATATATAAGTTAAGACCCGACCCAATATGACTTGAGGCTGATGGCAGCTGAGTTTGCTTGAGATTGCATAGTTCCTCCACTAGCCATGCCCCTGGTGGGCGTAACGAGCACTTGGTAAGCCCGAACTAAAGTCTTTCGCACTTGGTACACAACTAATATACTCTATTCACTCCTGGAACGAGCATACAAATATCCTATATATATTTAAATATTTGTTATAATTTTTATTATGCACAGATTTTGTTATTTTACATATTTTAATATTCTTCTGGCTGCCTGTGCCTCAGCCTAATCCTACGCTAGATTCCATTCGGGCTCGTCTAGAAGAAGTCTTAACTGCTTTTTAACACACACACAGTACACAGCACACACACTCGCACATACGCACATCCCTTAATAGAGCAACTGCTTTTGGGCTTGGGATTCAAATCCGATTATAGAAAAGGCAATGTAAATGTAAAAGGACATAAATACAGCAACTCGTGTTGCTCTCTTCCTCCCTTTCTTTTCTTTCTTTATTCATATTTATTTCACAATTTTTGAATTTATTGCTGAGTTGCAAAACAAGTGGCCGTGAGGCAAGCTGCAGGCGATGCCGAAAAAAAAAGAACTTGAAGTGCCTTTTTTTGAATGGAGAAGGAGAGGGAGGGAGAGAAATGGGGCAGAGCAGAAGGAGACGGCGGACTGGTAGGAGTTGGAGAGCTGTGAGGAAGAGCAGAAGTACAAGTCGAGGCAGGAATTAGAGAAAGAGAAGCAGGGGCAGATGGAGATGGGGCAGGACAGGGGTATGAAGTAGCAGGAAGAGGAGAAGCAGCAGCAGCAGCAGCAGGAGCAGCAGGAGCAGCAGCAGGTGCTGGAGTAGGAGTTTGATAAAGTAAGAAATTGAGGAAACAGGATCAGGATGTAGCTGAAGCAGGAGGAATATGAAGCACCTGGCAGCGGAGTAGCTGGAGCAGGAGCGGCAGCAGGAGTCGAAGCTAAAGCATCTCCCATATGCGAGCATAATAAAAATGCACAGCACTACTTCGAACAGAATTCCTACCCAAGATGCCTCCTGCTCCCTTTCCCCTGCGACGCCATGTCCACAAAAGGGAGACAGCAAAGCAAGCAGGCGGATTAGTGGGAAGCAAAGGGAATCCTTCAATATTCGAAAATTTTAATGCGCTTACAATAAATTTTCATTAGGCAATCGTCAGCAGATCAACGACGACGGCAATCGTAAACACAATTTGTGTATTAACTGTGCTTGCCAAACCGTTACACCTGGACACTGTGGCAGCAATTGTTGCTGCTGCTGCTGCTGCTATTGTTGCTGTTGTTGTTGTCATTTAAGTCCTTAATGCGCTCGTAAAATGCAAGACGGCAACTCGCACGCACACACACACACACACACACAGAGATTTAGTTGGGCTTACCTGGCGTATACTTAATCGCCGAATGCTGTAAAAACACTGCGGCTGGACGAGAGGTCAACGACGAGATTGATTAAACACCTGATTTATTAGAGTTACACTTTTATCTATATACACACACACACACATACATATATATATATATGTTTATATGTCTTCACTCTTGTCACAGTCCTTAGGCTCGAGTCTATTCTCAATGTTTTCTCTTTGGGCAGCGAGACGCGCGCGTCGCTCACAATTTGTTGACTGGCTCGTGCTGGGCCTCGCGGCTGCCTTTTATTAACTGCCGCCAACTGTTTGCCGCACGGCATTCAAAACACAACACGTTGCACGTCCATTTGCAACCAAAACAAACCTTCCAATGGCTCAGCGCGCAGACGCATTGCATCCGCAGGAGTCGCGTAGCTTATAGCAGCGCTACTTTTGCCTCTGCACTTAGTCGGGACTCGAACCGCAGCTTTGGCAGAGTTGTTCGGCCGCTGGGACTGGAAGTGCTGTGGGGCCAGGACATGTTCGCAGCAGCTGCTACCAATTGGCCCCGACTGAAGTCGACTAAGACTAACTTAAGACAGCCGCTGCTGCGGCTTCACTGCTCTATATGTAACTACAATCTAGTTCCACTCGTTCTTAACCTCACAAAGACTGATCAAATTGAAGACGGTTATACTCTGGTTAGTTTCTTCGACTGATGCTGCTGAATCCACATTGTTCCTGAAATGCTTCAAGGTGAATTTCCTCAGATGAATTTCCTCAGGCTTTAGTTGGTTTCCTTTTTACGTGAAAGCAGTCAAAATATCTCTAAATTTCCAATTCCAATTTCCATTCATATTCACTAATGAAAAGACATCCTTCATCAGTCCCAATTTGATTTAAAAGCTCTGGTGTCTCAGATGTTCTTTTTTCATTTGTTTGTCACTTATTTTCCACTTGGGTTTTAGCTTGTTTTTAATTTCATTTTTCATTTGACCTTTTACTAGATTTTCTCGTTGCTTTACATCTTTTTTCAGACTTCTTTGCCGTTGCTTTACATCTTTTTCCGTCTTCTTTTCTACTTATGTATCATTACTGGTCCAATAATGTTTGGTATGATTTTCAACAATTTTCCACTTGAATAAGGGTTTCACTGGTTTTTCAATTGACTTTTCATTTATTTTAGATACATAGTGAATGGAACAAAAGTAAATATTTCTAAATGAATCATCAAAAGAAAAGGTTTCCGCTTTCATATCCAAGCTGAGAGTTACCCTAAGAGGTTGATATTCAAATCGGCTTAATATTTCCAATTTGTTTGCCATGCTTGGCCTAAGTCGTAACTAACCAGAGTTGTGTTTGCATTTTAACTAGATGCCACAAAGAGTTTTCTTTATTAGGCATAGACTGAAACCCAAATACCTGCCCCCCTGCTCGACCCCTGTGAAGCTGTCAAACAACTGTTAGTAAATTGAACTAACCTCGAGCACCCCCAAAGAAAACAAGTAAGAAGGCTCCAGTCGAGACTGCTCGACTAGGAGATACCCTGAACCCTCCAAGCTGATATTCTAATCATTCTGGACTTCTTTTATTCATACATACATACACATGCACTTATAAGCACGCGCTCTGCTAACTGCGCAGTAAGCAGCGACTGCGCTGGGGCTGCGCTGCAATGTGGGCAATATTATGAGAATTTATTTGTTGAATAATTTCTCTTGTAGACGTATGATCTTAATAAAACTTTTAGAGCGTAATCATATGGCTAAAATGTGTGTACATTCCAAAGCACAAGTCTCTAGTACTTGAAATGCGTTTTTTACAAATTGGGGGCGAAGGGGGCGTGGTATCCAAAATCTGTAAATTACAAAATCTTTGTATCCATTAACTTTATATACAACGCAAATTTGAAGTCTCTAGGTCTAAAAGTGTTCAAATTAGGCTGAAAAAACAAAGTCGATTTTTCGATTATTCTCGATAAAAAAGTTATCGGATGAGTTATCGAAAAAATAAAGCAAACTCGTACTGCCTATGGTATACACGAGTATGCATGCCAAATTTCAGCTCTCTAGCTCTTATATCTTCTGAGATCCTTTTGCTCATACGGACGGACGGAGGGACGGACGGACGGACGGACGGACAGACGGACAGGGCTATATCGACTCAGCTCGTCGTCCTGATCAAGAATATATATACTTTATGGGGTCTGCGATGATTCCTTCTGCCTGTTACATACTTTTCACAAAACCATTATACCCTGATTTCCCATTTTCAATGGGTTCAGGGTATAAAAAGAAGAGAAGACAAAATGCGAAACACAAACAAACGCAACTGAAGGCGACGACACGACTTTCTCCGCTCTACGTCCTTGCGGCTTCGTCCTCGCTGCGTAGCCTAGGCAACGATTGCCAGCTCCTGCCCAGGTAGCCCTGACTCATATTGCGAACCGAGCCGAACCGAACGAACCGCAATGCCAAATGCCAATCTAAAGTAACTGATAGGCTTACAATTAGCTTGCGAAATGGCCACTCGAATGGGGCAGCGTCTGTCAACACGCTGACTCGAGCCCCACTCGCCCCACCCCCCTCCGCTCCCAGCATTGGCATTGACTGAGGGGACTCGACTCGAACTACTTACAAATGTTAATAAGACGCAGAGTGAACGTCGAGCGACGAAGGAGCTAATCAAATAAATGTAAGTCGGGCCAAGTCAAATAAACACAAATTGGGGTTTTGAGCCTTGAAACTATATTTAATGCAATTTCGGAAATATCTAGTTGAAATACACTGCAATATATAACTACTCCTTCACAATATATCTGCTCTTTATATATCATAGTTCTGTTCAAACGTGTTGACAACGTTCTGCACTTTGCATTCTGACAGAGCCACAAAAAAAAGCGACGGAGAATAAGGGCAACAGTCACGCCCTCTGCTCTCTGCCCCCTGCTACGCCCATTTCCATTGATAGCAACAACCTTTGGCAAACATGTCCAAGTTTTTCATTAACCTGACTCGACCAGATACGCACGATGGCAGCTGTCTACGCTGAAGCGTTTACATCTCCGCCTCCAACATCACACACGCACACAGATAGTTGGGCCGCCCCTCATAATACCCTATAAATATTGTAAATCTGACCACAAGCCAAAGCTTTTGCAATGTAAAAATGAGAATTTGAATAGAAAACTGTTTCAACTTTTAATGGATATACGATACTTTCTTTATGAGCGCGATAAAAGACTTTTTGGATTCTTACCAGAACTACATTCCACTTCAAATTCGAATACTTTTCTTAGAGCTAAAGATATTTCCTGCAAGCCTTTGAGCTACATGTATAACATAACTATTCAGAACTATTAAAACTATTAAGCAAAATCCATGCAATAAACTAGTGAAGTCTAAAAGCATATTCAGATTGTCATAAAAAATTGAGATTTTAATTAGTGTATAGGGTCTCCTCTAGTTATATTATGCTCATCTAGAGCACTTTCAGCAGTTATCCTATAATCGAAAAACATTTCATACACTATCTTTTTATCTATTATAGGGCATTTCTCAGTCAGTCACTTTCCTTTGAAGCACTCTAACTCTTTGCTTTTGTTTATGCTTAAACACCTGTATAACAAGAGTTTCTCAATCGCTAGCTAAATTGTTTTTAAATACAGGGTATCTCCAGGTCATACATGCTTACCCAGCTGACTTTGCATCGCTCTTTTATGATGGCAAAAGTGTTATCTAGGCGCCAACAGCATTTACTGACTTAAGCTAAAAGCTTCCTGTGAACACAGGGTATCTTGTAGTCAGTCCCGATGCGCTAAGTCAGCATTGTACAATTTTCCGCTTCAGAATTTAGTAAAACGTAGCCACAATAACTGCAGCTAATTGAACCATCAAGGTTTTATTAGTTTATTCAATGACAGGGTATATGTTTGTCGATCAAATTTATGCATGGTACTTTGAATGAGCTTCTTCGAATTGTAGAGCTATTTAGTAATTTTCCATTAGCTGGCTGCATCTGCTCTTGAGCTTGAACTGTATATTTGTATACAGGGTATCTATGAGTCGGGACAGCGCATTTATAGTCATTTAAATGTATTTCTTTTAGAGTTTTTAGCCTCCTTAACTAAAACTTGGTCTGAAAGAATTTCCTACCAATCTAATATTGGCAGATAGGGTATCTCTTGGTCGGTCACTCGCTCTGTTGTATGTTTTAATGATGCTTTTTGCAGTTACAGTGAGCCAATGGCAGTCGTGAAGCATTCATGGCTAACGCCTGCAACCCGACCACGTATTTTTATTAACACTTTTTGCGGTAGCTTTACAAAGTCTTTGTGTGTGTGTGTGTGTGAGTGTGGCTGTGTGTGTGTATTTCAGCTGAAACTGCTCTTAAAATTGTTTTTTGGGTTGCTCAATACGAATTTCAATTTGGTTTCCTGCAAATTTTGTTGCTTTTCGTGATTCGCTGATGCACTTTGAACTGCTCTTTGACAGTTAGCCCGAATAGAACAAGAAGAAGCAGAGCTGGATGATAGAACTGATCCCGAGAAGTGGCAGCTGTGTGGGCAGCGCCTTCTCCTGTCCCCTCTGGCGAAATTGTGATAAATGTGATTGCGAAATGCCTGCGGGAAACTTTCTGAAAATTAAATGCCAATTGCAATATGCAAACAAAATGTGCACAAAGCGAATGCCATAGCAACCGAGAAAGCTATCACAAAATGCACACCGAAGAGAGAGAGGGAGAGCAGAGAGAGAGAGAGAGGGAGGGAGATTTTGAAACTCTTTGCCTGGCCGCAGTGTGTTAAGGTGCGCATGACATAATTCCTTAATTACCAAAGTTGTCAGAGGCAGCTGCAAGGCAAAACATTTATAATAATCACAACTATAACTCTATGCTCACCTCTGGCACACCTGTAGTTACCTGGAAAGCAAGCAAAGCTGCACATAACTGACATGTGCACAATTGCACCCAGCTCCAGGTGGCTGCAGATGCCTAAGCCAAGCAAGGCCAAGCAAGGCCAAGCAGAGCAGCAGCAGCAGCAGCAGCAGCCTCTGCCTTGGCTTTTAAATATTTGTAGCTGATTTCAAACGAAACGAACAACTTACGTATATTAACTGGCAAGCTATTCAAATAGCCCTAGTCGGGGGTGCACGGCTAGGATATGCCCTGAGAACGGCGCTCACATGCAGCAGGAAAGAATGGATCAGTGCTCCAGTGATTCCTGCTGTTCAGGAACATACATGAACATAGAAATATGACAAATATTATACAAT